TAACACCAGCGCACTTGTGAAAGAATATTAGATTCACCAGTTGACGTGTATTGGACTCGTGGCATGATTTGTTTACTTTTGAACTTCGGCAAAAATTGAACATTTCTTCTACTTTGAGCTCAATTTCAAGGTACTTTTCATTGTGAAACCAATCAAAATCATCTCATTTGCTATAATATGTCTTCCATTCTATAAAATGAGACCAGGAAAACTAGAATACAACCGTAAATACCATACAAAAATACAGTGCAAAGTCGCTGTTTTAAACCAAAACCACGGTCAAAGTTTTTTTTTTCTCATTACACACTGTGCTGCAGGATTTTTTTTATACTGTGCACACTGACCACATAGACCCATTCTTTCATATGTAGACCTACCAGCTTTCTCTCACTAGATTTGAAGGCGCTAGAATTTAAGCGTACTAGTACGTCAATAACCCTGATGCATAAGCCGTACTAGTTAGTAAGAAACCCTGAAAGGTTAAGCACCAAATTAACAGAGAACTAAAATGGGCAAAAAGTAGTATTACATGAAAAGCTAAATTTTAATATTTTAGATCCCATGCTAAATGTGTAAATTTGAGTTTATTTTGGCAAGGTAATGCTTGCTTGGCTTGTGTTAAAGTAAATTTGTCCACTCATGGTAAGGAGGCTATTCAAAGTCAGTACAGGATTTTTAGCTTTCTTTCCTCCATGACATAATCCCAGTTGGAAAATTAACAGATGCTGTATGGTATTGGAGAAAAAGTAGTAAATTTTATTATTTTATGTCACTGTTCTAAATCTTTTAATGCAAAAAAAAAAAAAAAAAAAAATGCTTGGTTATGACAAAATTATCTCCAGCAGTGAAACGCTTCTTCAGATCACTCGCTATTATCTGAGTCTTCAGTTTCCATTTTATTTTCACACCCATCTACATAACAGTGAGCACAAGCTCTTGTACACATCAAACCATTTTTCTTGCAGCTACAGCACAGTGAGGCATGATGTGGTATGGTGGTAATAATAGAAATTTTTTTCATTATCCATCCCCAGTCACTTGGACTCATGGAATCTACTTCCAACTTCCATTCTTTGATTTGGTAATAAATATAAAATATGTATAGTGCTTTGTTACAGATGAAGTTGAGGGTAGACACTTTTCAGTTAAATAAAAGTACCTCTCTTCATCAGTCTTTTTCATTAGCATTGTCAAACTATTATCTTTTCTTTTCCAGCCAAAACAATAGTTGGAGTTTGGTCTTGGTCTTTGTTTGGGAAACATAAACTTCATCAAGCTGTTTCATGTGACATATTCATGCAAAGTAGCTGTTTCATTTGCCAAAGGTTCTTTTTTTTCTTCATCTATGGGAAATAACTCATCAACTTTCATTCCTGCTGTTGCTACCACATCACTATGCACTATCCTGGCATTGTTAATTCTTTCTGCATCTTTAGAACCATCAACACAACCAGCTTCCTCAGCTTCAGTTTTGATGTTTTAGATAGTGCAAAAATGTTGCTTGCTTGCTTAACTTCCAACATAATACTGGCCTCTTCATTCATGTATGAAAAAAGAAGTAAATATGAACAGTTGATATTTTATTGTAACTAAGAGACCCCAATATATAATATCTATGCTAACATAGTCAAATTTACACATTTGGCAAGGGTGGAAGCTATTATGTTGAAATTTAATTTTTCATATTGTGCTACTTTGTCATTTTGAATTTGTTTGTGGTTGCTTTTCCAGGCTTTGAGTTATGTTGATTTTGGATATGTTATTCATTGGGTTATTTTGCATTAAAAAATATTGAAAAGGCTTTATTAATATTTTTTTTATCCTGACCCATATATTTCATGGACAACATACTCAGAGCTTCTGTTTTCAGCTAAGTGAAGAATAAGTGTATGATACTTTTTGCAGTTGCCTAATAGGCAACAAAGCTCTTATTTTCAAAATTTATTAGATTAAATTGGGACTGTTATGTATTTTGTCTGCATTTTAACAGTAATACTGTAATGTATTTTATCTGTATTTAACTGTAATACTGTAATATATTTTGTCTGCATTTAACTGCAACTTAATTCATATTCTTTTAATTATAACTAAGCAGAGACATTCTGTTGTAGTTGTTTTCCAGGTAATACTGAAGTTCAGTATCCTGACTTTTAAATTTGTGTACTTCATTTATAATTTTTATTCATTAATTATTATTACTGTTTAATTCTTTATTTTAGAAAAAAGTAATGCTTTAAGATTAGTTAGCATAATTAACTTTTAAGATGATAGCAGTGTTGACAAAATCAATATTTTTTTATGGTACATTAATGCATTCTGCATTTTCAGTGATATTAGTGAAGAGGTGAAGAGTGTTGGAGGATTTGGGATTGAAGAGGTTGTAAATGCAGTGGTGCAATGCATTAGAGCCATCAACAGTGATTGTGAATTACCAACTACATTACCACAGAATATGGCACAGCGCTTCAGAGTTGCTGCTTCAATTGCACAAGCAGTGAAGGTGAAACTTCTTTTATGTGAGGCTTGTACTGTACCATACTGTACTACTTGTTTCTCAAATAGTTTCATGATTTATGGGTGGAAACTGATAAATTTATTGCTGCTGCTATCATCTTGTGAATTAGATTTTTTGTGCTTTAACCCTTTCACTGTCCAGACCCCTGCAATTAATATTGCTCTGAAATGGTAAGAACTTTTTTGGGGATAATAAAACCAAATTGAATTTTTTTTCCCCACTTTGAGCCCTTTTTAAGCCAATTTCCATTGCTCCATTTGCCAATTCATAGCTTTTTTTGCTAGTAGCCCCCTTTTCCCTTTATTATTATAGAAGCCCATTTACTATTAATACACCCTACAAAGTGCACAATTAACTTGGCCAGTTTACACAAAATTTAAAAAAAAAATTCTTTTTTAAAATTATAAAAAATAAAACAGTGTAGACATTCCCTGCACTAAAACACATTTCCTCTTTTTCGAAAACCCTTTTCAGGGCCAGGCCCTCCCCCAAAACCTGTTCTCAGGTCGGTAAATACAGTGGATGCCAAAGTTTCGGATTAATCCGTTTGAGGTCTGCCGACTGGGAAATTCATGATTGGTAATCTTTTTTTCCCCCTTTAAGAAATAAGGGAAAACCCCAAATTTAAAATCCGTTTCAGACACCCAAAAATTTAACAAAAAATAATTTTTTTGAAGATTAAATATAGTTTACAAAGAAAAAAAATGACAAAAAAATAAAAAAACACTAATAAAAGGAAAAATGAACATTTAACATCACATTTAACCTTTTTAAATTTCTTGTTTGGTGTAAGGGGTAGAGGCAAGGGGAAGGGCATTTATTATGCTTAAATTGATGCTAAATCTTCTAGGGGTTTTTTATCTTCACAATTCATCGATGTACTTAAAAAAATTTTTAATAACATAAAACAGTATATACTCTAGAATAAAAAATATGTCATGATGTATGGGGGAGAAAACGGAAAAAAGTTTGTTTTTGGGTTTTTAACCCTTTCGGTCCTCCCATAGATCTGGGTTTTCCGTTGATGCCCAAAAACCGTAGATCTATGCAAAATTCTAAGCCTCAAATTTCGTGAAAAGCCTCATAGGCCTACTGTGAGAAAAACGGGTCTGCGTGGGGGGTGTCGGAAAAACAAAAAACTGGGGCCCCGCATAGCAGGGGGAAGCCGGTCAGTTTCCCTTGTTCACCATGCCTGCGAAATCACTCTCACTCCCCGGAAATTTGGACTCTCCTTTCCTATTGATAGTTCGCACGATGAAGTGGAAAAAAGGGAAATTCTAGGGCTTTGATTATTAGTGCCCGGAAAAGAATGACCGGGATATCGATAATAGTGCAGAAAACCCTGATGATCCTCAACCTTTCTACCTTGGTGTGGGCACTCGTGACCCCGGGTGGGTTGTTCCTCAAGCAAGAAAAAAACAAATATTTTCCGGGCCGGGGCCTTATTCAGTAATGATTTGAAAGTGATTGGATTGTGATTTTAGCGTCGCGATCATTGGTAGGGATATGAGGAATCATTTTCACCAGTGAAGGGGGATTTTTCGCCGCCGAATGCGCTGGGGTAGTTCCCCTAGCTGTGCCCGGGGGAGGGAGTAAAACCCCGGATTCCCCCGTGGCCCTTTACACCATTTTGGGTAGTATATGAGGATGATGGGGCAAAATTTGGCATGGAAGACCACAGGCATCGGGGTGGGGTAGGGGTGATGGTAGTGCACCGCCATGCATGATTTCCCAGCCAGGCTGGGACCCACCGCTGACTTGTCTTTTTAAAGGACAAAGGGAGCGTCACCACCACCCACCACAACCACCCGCACAACCACCCCTATGAGTCCATTTCCACCAGCAAACCGTATGTGGGATTGGCAAAAAACCCAATTTTGCCCCCAAACCCCTCACCATTTTTGATGACCTCAAAGTGGTTTCTCCCACTTGTCCCTTGGAACCATGGCCAAAAAGGGGAATTCTCTTTTTTATTCTTTACCAGCCTTGGGGGAAACTATTGCAGGGAAATAAAAATTTTTTTTGAGAAACCCCAATGGCAAATACGATCTTTCACCCAGTCAAGAAACACAGGGGGAAAAGACGACTGTTGCAGAAATGTATTTGCTTTTTGCAACAATAATGTTATGCCTCATGTCTAAACAAATTTAATAAAAGCAAAAGGTCCACGATCGGCTTTTTCTCCCCCGGTTTCAGTGAAATCACCCAGTGAAAGGTTTATCTTTCCCTTTTACGTATTTGCACTTCCGACAAAACCAGGCCTGACAAAAGTGACGGTTTATACAAGATTAGAAATGTTTTCAGTATCCAAAAACAAAAGTCAATTTTTTTATCATTCAAAATTTCTTGAAATTTGAGATCTTTGATTTTGTTAAAAGGGTAACTGTCATTCAAGCAGTATATACCGAGCAAGAGGAAACGCTTTGGTATAAAACTTTTTTGTACTCTGTACGTGACAGGGGGCCCTGGTTGGATTTTGTTGTAACACGGGAAGTAAAACTTGAAAAGAACCAAGTGTTATTGGGTATCTAGGTGAGTATAGAAACAGGGGGGGCCTTATTTTGGGTAAGGGGCAACATTATACGTATCCCAAAAATGGTACACAAGCCCTTACTCAGTGTTTTTCGGCAGTGAACAAGCAGATGGTGTGGCCGTGCGTTCTAACGTAAACATAGCCCGGCTCAAGCATGCCGTGGTGATGACATGCGGGTTTTTACTGCCATCCCTAAAGGCATTAGGTGGCATGAAAACGAGATTTAATTTTTTGAAAACCCTTTCACCGAATGAAATGCAAACAGGGGCAAAGTTTTCGAGTGACTAAAACGTATTCAAAAACCAGGGACGGGATTGATTTAACCAAAACTGCCTTGGTTGACAAATGTGACATCAGTTTGGGTTTTTTGTTGACTGTGTTCGAAAGAGTTACAAGGGGTACAGAAACTTTTTTTCCCATTCGGGACATTTCTTGCTAAATGTATAATATGTACCAAAAAAAGACTGGCAAAAGACCACCTTTTTGGTAAATTTTGTTTGTCTGTTTCAGACCTCAAATGAAGTACCGGGTAACAACCCTGAACAACAAGGTCCTCGAATTACTCGGGAAAACCCCAAGCGTTTAGGAGGGAAATGATATTTATAAACAGCTTCCTTCAACTCGAAAAAATTTTGTCAGAAGAGATGCATGTCTTGCACAAAAAAAAACTACGGCAACAAAGACGCAAAACACCTTTTTGGTGTGAGGAATGTAAGGCCCCTCTGTGCATGGTCCCCCTTGTTTCAAGGATTCCAAAAGCCCACATTCAAAAACCATTCCATGTTTGTAAAATGTAAATATATGATAGAACATTAGTTTTAAAAAAAAATTTTGTGCATGTTTTTGTAAAAAAACAGGGTAAACAATAATTTTGATAAACTTTAGTGTGGTTATTGTGTTCATACAGGAGTTTATATATAAAATTTATACAAAAATGGCCCTGGGCCCCAAATTTAGTAGAATAGAAAAAAATTAAAAAAGAAAAAAAAAAAATTTTAAAAAAACCGCTTAAATAATGAAGCGGTAGGGGAACGTCGATGTTGCCGCCCCCAACCTTTTTTTGACAAACTTTTTGGCACTGTTTCTGGGTAATAGATCAAAATTTTTTTTTTTTGTTTTATTACCTTTCACAAAAATATGCTTTAATTCTGTAAGAAAAAATAATTTTTTTTTTTTTTTCAAAATTTTTTGGACATTTGGGAGCACCATTTCAGATTTTGGCCTTGGGACCCGAAGGGTTAAGGCCACCCTGAGAGAACCCATGTTGGGGGCAGTGGAGGCTTTGGCCACCACCACCACACATTTTTAACAATGTAGTAATTTAAAAAAAGAATATTTACTTTTTAATTTATAAAAAAGAAATATTTACATTTTAATTTATAAACAAGTAAGTTTATTCAGGTAAAACACAAATCATTTAAAAACATAGATTATTTACATGCAGCTATGTTAAAGTCCCCAAGAAGCAAAAAAAATTTAAAGAGTGGCATATTCCATTGGTGTCCTTTATTTTATTTTTTTTATTATACACTGGCCGATTCCCACCGGCGGGGTGGCCCAAAAAAGAAAAACTTTCACCCCATTTACTCCCTCACTGTCTTTCCAAGGGGGGCTTTACATCGTTTTTTAATGCAACATTAACACCCCTCCTTTAGAATGCAGGAAACTGACTTCCCCCTCTCAGGCTCAATCCGGCCCGCCGGTTTCCCTGAACCCCTTATAAATTTACTTTGCTCACACTTTCCCCAAAAGAAAGTCAAGTATTAAAAACCATTGTCTCCATTCACTCCTACAAACACGCTCACGCATGCCTGCTGGGGTCAAGCCCCTCACACAAAAAAATCCTTTACCCCCTCCCTCCCAAACTTTTTCCCCAGGCCGACCCCTACCCCGCCTTCCTTCCACTAAACTGAAACTCTTTTAAGTCATTCTTTTCGCTCCATTCCTTACAGTCCGAACCCCCTCAACAACCCTTTTCCCCCCCCTCTGGACAACAGTTTTTTTAATCCCCACCTCCCCTAACTTCCCAAAATGAATCTCTGCATTTTATTCACACACACATTGCCCCCGGGCATGACACTCCCCTGCCTCCCCCTCTCCTCGCGCAAAAATTTAAAACCCCTGCTTCAACCCCTATAAGGTTGTAAAAAAACTCCATACATTCCCCTCTTGCCCCCAAGGGCAAAGTTCTTTGTCCCAGAGACTCCTAAGTGCACCACCACCCTTTTCCCCCCCATCAATTCAAAAATTCACCCATCTTCATAGACCCATCCGTGCACGTCCCTCCCAAATTTTGAAACTTCACCCCCTCCATACTCTCTCCCCCCCAATCTGATATCCAATCTTCATCACCTAATCTTTTTGTTTTCCTCATAAACCTTTCTTTTCCTTTATTCACTTTTTTTTTTTTTTTTTTGCATACCTTTCCAAATTATCCACCAATCCTGCAACT